TTTGGATAATGGCAAATTTATCCACATTTCGATCTGAAATTTAGTCATAAATATATAGATTAAGTGGAATGTATTAATCATTATTTAACAGAAACTATACTCGTTTTTAATCTATATTAAACTAACTAGTGCTGAATGAAAAATGAATTCTAACAAGCAGTGCCAGAATAAATGACAATGTGTCGGAGAAACTAAAACATACAGCTGCAGTTAAAAGGTGATATCATGTTTGTGCAGTGATCATCTTGACATCAAATTCATATGTGGCAAACTTTTCAGTATTACATCTGATCGCACTTTGGCCGTTTCAATAATAAATGACTGAAATAACACTAAATTGTATTTACAACAGTCTGTCATATGTAATGCCACGGACTAAAATCAAATAAATGTCGTACACTGTTCTCCTCTGCATCACACAGTCTCACCGCATGAGCACGCCGGTGTGCAAAACTCACAGGAAGGATCGATAATTACTCCTTTTTTATTTAGTTTATTTACTATATTTTATTATTGAAACACGGACCCGCGTGCTCTGTGATACGTGTATACAATAATTGGCCAGCTGCTTGGAAATTTGCCAAGATCCTCTGCCGATACACATAGTTCTGGTGTATAAATCAGGAGTAAAATAATTACAATTTGTTTATTATTACTCAGGACTGATAAGCATCTATACGTGCTACCTCTAATCTTTGTGTGATCGTAAATGGGCCTTTTACCACAACTGATCAATTAAGGCTGTTCACGAATAAACAATGCCACTGTCTTAGTTCCACGTGCAAGCGACAAAACGTTGGATGCATATATATGTGTCATTACGCAACGAAAATCAAATCCTAGTCAGGATGCAAGATATGCAATCAAACTTCACGACATTCTATCCATTGAAGTCATTACTGCGCCTTAAAAGGTCAGCTGATATTTGAAGGTGCTTTCACTTTTGCTTATGGGAAGCTGTGTGCAGGTGTGGTTCTATGCTATGTATCATCACTGATAATAATGAATCTTGCGACAGCTGCTCATCAGATCTATCATTTTATCAAGTCTGGTATCCTACCTTTAAGTCGATTCCCGCGGTATTCCCGTTTCGTGAGCAACGTTCTGAAACCGCGAGGTCCAACGAAAGTGAAAGTTAAAACCATACTGTGGAGCAGGTCACCTGCAGAAATAAAGAATACGTTCATTCTGTAATGGCGCAGAGGCAAAAACAGACCATGATACTGCACAGCGAATTATATCAGCAACTTATTTATTATTTTACTTATTAATCAGCATTTAGACAACTTTTTCAGCAACCGCCTCACACTAAAGCAACTCACACAAAATTATTGACAACAAAGTATACACCCACTGATCAGAAGACCACACAAAAACGCTGCGTGGCAAAACCTTAACAGGCTCGACTTCGAGCGATTAAGAAACGTCGGCACGGTCACATTCAGAAAAGAGAGGGGGGCGACTCACCCTGGGAAGCGTGGAGTCACGCATCAGGTGTGATTCTGCTCAGGTCTGCTCGCTTCCATCTCTCACTCCTCCGCAGCCTTTCTCGCAACGTTGTTCTACCACAAAAACATCGGGTACTCAGCGGTGCAGAAATTAACGCGAGTCCGAAGTCAAAATCTCCTGATTTACTCCAGTACTCCTAGTGTTATTATATGCAGGAGTCGGTGCGCATCCCTGAAAATTCTGCTATAGCCAACTAGTTCGTTACCAGAGGAAACGCCTCGCGAAGAATTCACGTATTTTTTTAGGCAAATGTCGCCAAGAATAATTTGGCAAGATGTGCCACCGCCAAATGTCCTGCTTTTTGTATAATATTTTTTGCTTTTAACTCATGACTGCGGACCCCTCATTTGCTACGGACCCCTGTTTTTGAGGGTAGGGAAGTCTGTTGGACTGCTGGTTCAAAATAGTTAATTTCTAACCCTGGTACTTTCAAGACACAAGATCTGCATTTAGCGTGATCACGGACACTTGTGCTTAGACCAGTAACCCCCGGCGACCTGTTGTACCTACGCGATTGTACTACAGGAAACAATTTCCAGCCAAAAATTGCCCATAGCAATGTTGCTATACAAAATAAATTTTGCATAGCCAATTGGATAATATTGCTATAGCATTATTTTATCAAGACAATCACCAGTGCAAACTTTACACCGCCAGTGCATGCTTGCGTGTGATCGTGTCGGCCTGGTGACAGCACAGCCTAGTAAGCCTAGAACACACTAGCGATCTGGCACCTGCCGGCAGCGTCTTAAACAGCGTGCAAGCTTGGCACTCGCCCGCTCGGCGATGTCGCAGATGAAATAGATATCGGGCCGGCGAGTGCAAAGCTAAAGTGACATCGGCCATTTTGCGCGAGTAAAATAATTGTCTTTTTTTATAGAACTCTTAATCAATGTTGGTTCCTTACGTTAACTTAATATAGCCAAACATTGATGCAATTACAGTTCAGCATTTGAAGCGGCACGCGCTATCCGACTCCTCGACACGACATCCTCACTTAATATATTATTTCAAAAAAAAAGGTCAGCGAAGAAAGCAGCCCGCAAAGAGCGCGGCAGCGCAGCACAGCGTGCGCTGTGTATACGTTGCCTGGGGCGGCATACTTGATTTTGATGCTACGGGGGGGGGGGGAGGCTGCAAGGATTGTTTTTAAAAGTACAGTTTGGCCTTGGTGCTTAACAAATCATAAACTCGGGGTAACGTTAAACGTGGCATTTCATTGACGGGCAAAAGCCAGCCGAGAATAAAAGAAATTGTAACTATGCTATGTTTCGTTTTACAATCTCGCATGGGCTGCATCGCACAACTGCAGATTCTAAAAAAATATGCGTAAGCAAATGGCTGAATATACATCGCGAATGGCCCGATGCGATACGAAACATTATTCCTGTGATACACCATGAGGCTATGTATTGTCATGATGGTATATATATAGATATATATATAGATGAGAGAGAGAGAGGAGAGAGAGAGAGAGCCAGAGAGAGAGATGAGCGAGATAGAAAGAGAGAGTAAAGTGAGAGTAGGGTAGAAGAGAGAGAGAGGAGAGAGAGAGGAGGAGAGAGAGAGAGAGAGAGCAGTGAGAAGAGAGAGACGAGGACGAGAGGAAGGCAGCGAGAGAGAGAGATAGAGAGAGAGAGAGTAGAAAGGAGAGAGAGATAGAGAAAGAGAGAGCGAGAACTGAGAGGAGAGTGTGTTGTGAAATAGAAAGAGAGAGAGCAAGAGAGAGAGAGAGAGAGAGAGAGAGAGAGAGAGAGAGAGCGAGAGAGGAGAGAGAGAGAAGAGGAGGGGAGCGACAGAATATGGACATAACTACCTATGGTGATTGTGAAGATGGAGTGGGATCGGCTCGACTGTTCGTTCATGAGGGTGGCTCCCGTGTGCCTCATCGCACTGCCCGCCTCAAGGCAGGTAACCACATCCTGCTCATCCAGGCATTTCACCTGCCGTGCCCCGCACACCACTGCAAAGTACATCATATCCAACCATACAGCAGCGCTACAGCACAGAAGGGTTCTAGATGGACGAAATATAATTGTCGTTTTTTTTATGGTCGAATGGAATTTTTCATAGCCAAACCAAATATCTATAGCTAAATATATAGTGTTTTGTAAACCTTAACACGATGTGTGTACATTATTAGCACTTCTCACTTCTAAAATACGATGTCTGTGAGTGCAGTACAGTCATGTGTGCCTATATACAAATGCATGTAGATTTTGTAGGGTATGGGACTTCCCCAATTCAAAAAGCAAAGGTGGAAATCCTAACAAAATACTAATAAATAGGTGAAAATACTAACAAAACAAATTAATTCACTATAAAGCCCTGACATTTATTTTCCACACTGAAATATGTTTTAAAGCACGTTCAATGGCAGACAGATTCAATGGAAAAGGTGTGATAAATCGTAAAAGACATTACAGTGATATGAGCCATATACAAAAACATATTAGAGAAGGAAATAGAATATAAGGGGATAAACATATACAAAAACAGTGTACTAAGTTATGCTATAGCTATTGCCTGAATTGAAGAGTGACAGCTAAAAACTTGACTTTAAGGGGTACCATATATATATCAACCACATGAGTTTACATGACTACCTATAGACACAAACATTAAAGCACAATGTGTTTTAGGTGTGTGTAGAAAAGACATTACTGAGTAAAATCTCATCCCACCTGTGCTACCCTGGTCATCCTCTCTGATGCATAGATCCTTGGCACTCGCTTCTATGTTTAGAAGATCCCTCAGCTCCTCTTTGTAGATTTCTATGTATGTGACTTTTATAATAAACGAATGTGTTTGCCTCGCCCTGTAAATAGTACATATCCCAATAGTTGAGGATACAAAATTCCTCCATAACAATTATTGGTTTTTGGTTTATTTCAAACTATATTGTATTTTAATATATGATTTCTATATGTCTGTTCTGGCTACTGGTTGTGACTTTCACGTGTGCATTTACCTATAAATGCATGCGAAGTCATTGTAATCCTTGATTGACCAATTTAATTGACCCATACGTACTATGTTCAGAAAATCAGTGCATGCCGAATTTTAACCAAGATCCCATCGGATCCCACTAGGAAAATGGCAGGCATCAACAAATGCTCTACAGAGCTGACGTTGACAGAATTGTATGTATATGTAGGTCACATGATTTATGACTATCTCTCTCTCTCTCTCTCTCTCTCTCTCTCTCTCTCTCTATATATATATATATATACATATCAGGAGTAGATAATAGGGATTATATTCTCTCTCTCTCTCTCTCTCTCTCTCTCTCTATATATATATATATATACATCATACAATACATACATCATGTGTATACAATAGCTAGGTACAACAGGTCGCCGGGGGTTCTGGTCTAAGCTACAAGTGTCCGTGATCACCTAAATGCGAGATCGTGTCTTTGTAAAGTACCAGGGGTAGAAATTAACTTTTGAACAAGCGAGTCCAACAGACTCCCTACCCTCAAAAACAGGGAGTCCGTAGCAAAATGAGGGAGTCCGCAGTCTGAAGTTCAAAACAAAAAATATTAACAAAAAGGACATTTGCGGTGCACATCTGCCAAATTTTCTTGGGACATTTGCTAAAAAAATACGGTAATTCTGCGAGGACGTGCTCTGGAACGAACTAGTTGGTATAGCAGAATTTTCAGGGAGTCGCACGGACTCCTGCATATATAAAATCAGGGAGTCTGGCAGTAAATCAGGGAGTATTTGACTTCGGACTCGCGTTAATTTCGCACCCTGAAGTACCGATGTTTTTGTGGTAGAACAACGTTGGCGAGAAAGCTGCGAGGAGGAGAAGATGGAAGCGAGCAACCTGAGCAGCATCACACCTGATGCTGACTCCACCTCCCAGGGTGAGTCGTTCTTTTCCTGAAATGTTGACCGATGTCGTACGTTTCTTAATCGCCGAAGTCGAGCTCGTTAAGGTTTTGCACGGCACGTTTTTGTGTGGATCTTCTATCAGTGGGTGTATTTTGGTTGTCAATAATTTTGTGTGAGTTGTTTAGTGTGGCGGTTGCTGAAAAAAGTGTCTAAATGCTGATAATAAGTAAAAAATTAAATAAGTTGCTGTAAATGCTGTTGCAGTATCATGGTCTGTTTTGCTCTGCGCCATTACAGAATTGCACGTATTATTTATTCTGCAGGTGACCTGCTCCACAGTATGGTTTCTAACTTTCACTTCGTTGACCTCGCGGGTTCAGAACGTGCTCACAAAACGGGGAATACCGGTGAACGACTTAAAGGTAGGATAACAGACTGATAGATAATGATAGATCTGATGACAGCTGTCGCAAGATCATTATTATCAGTGATGATACATACATAGAAGCCACACCATGCACACCTTCCCATAAGCAAAAGTGAAAGCCTTCAAAATCAGCTGACTTTTTAAGGCTGAGTAATGACTTCAATTGGATAGAATGTTCGTGAAGTTGATTGCATATCTCACTTCCTGACTAGGATTTAGATTTTCGTTCGTAATGACACTATATATGCAATCCAATTTTGTCGCTTGCACGTGTGGAACTAAGACAGTGGCATGTTTATGTGAACAGCCTTGATTGTCAGCTGTGGTAAAGGCCCATTTACGATCCATAAAGATTAGAGGTAGCAACGTATAGATGTTATCAGTCCTGAGTAAATAATAACAAATTTGTAATTATTTACTCCTGATGTTATCACCAGAACTACGTGTTTATCGGGGCAGAGGATCTTGGCAAATTTCCAACAGCTGCCATATTATGTATACACGATCACAGGCACTGCGGGTCCGTTTCAATAATAAAACTATAGTAAATAAACTAAATAAAAAGGGAATTATCTATCCTTCCGTGAGTTTGTGCACAGCGGCGTGCATGCGGTGAGACTGTGTGATGCAGAGGAGAACATGTACGACATTTATTTGGAATTATTAGTCGTGCATTAACATATGAAGACTTTGGTTGTAAATACAATTTGTGTTTATTTACAGTCATTTTATTATTGAAACGGCCCAAGTGCGATCAGATGTAATACTGAAAAGTTTGCACATATGAATTTGGATGTCAAAAGATCACTCACAACATGATATCACTTTTTCAACTGTCAGCTGTATTTTTAGTTTCTCTGACACATTGTCATATTCTGGCACTGCCAGTGAGAATTCATTTTTCCAATTCAGACTAGTAGTTTTAATATAGATAAAAACGAGTATAGTTCTGTTAAATAATGATTAATCATTCCCAACTTAATCTATATATTTATGACTAAATTCCAGAATCGAAATGTGGATAATTTGCCATTATCCCAAACTTAATATGTTTGTTTTTAAAATAATCATTTACACACAATTTTTCTGTTTGGCTGGCTATTTTTCTGCTTATACAGACAAGTATATTATGTATACAGACATTCAGTAGTTATAATCAGTTCTTGAATAACTGGCCATAGGTTATAACCTATTGTACAATTGCTATATGGTAAATTACACATTCAAGTAACAAAACTGCCTGTATTCTCACGTGCAATGTTGTATCTATCAGCTAATATCTACAGCAATAGTATTTTAAATTTACAATACATCATTAGGACTTGACCGCTTAATTTTAGCTACACAACACAACTTTACTTTAATTGTTAACACTTCCTTGCCAGTAGGTGGCATACTTACAACCACTATTGAATTCTAGTCTCCTTTTATGTTCCACTTTTTCTTTCGCGCATGTACTTACAAAAATGTCTTGCCTCTCATAAGCGAATGTGGTATGTTATACCTGCGTAGGATATAACACTGCTTTCTATGTATAAACGGATGAAAGTAAAAGTTCCTGAGAATGTGATTAGAACTGTCTCTGGATGTCATTATGATGGACATGAAATGTTGTGTTTGATGTCTTCTGGCCAGAAGATGGCATTTTTGAACTCGGCACATGTAACAAGGTGGTCACCTGTAGAGAAAACAAAGCACGAAGAATGTCAAATCCTCAGTTGTTATAATATGAAGATTATATATCAGTAGACGTACATCAATACTTTAAGAACGATATTGATAGTTTGTGCGCAGTGTTCCCTTTTCAATTTAGAAACAGCTGTTGTTGCCACGATTAGATTGATAAAATTACACTTCTGCCAACAAGATTAGCTGGGTACGAGAATAGCCAATCTTTACGTTTGTGTAGGTTAATTGGCAAAGACGAACGTGCAAACTTCAGAAGAAGAAAAACACGTTTGACAAATGGAAAATGAATCGAATGCATTTGGAATGTTATCAGACGAAAGTGACTTGCCGCTTGTGTCTGCGGTGAGAAACGCCCACAGGAATTCCTCAGTGTCGACGGAGAGGGTGTCCGTGACTTCGTCCTCGGTGATGTAGCCGTCTCCATTCAAATCGTAGGATGTGAACTTGTGCAGTGCGTCGTGTATTTCGCGAACGAGCCTAAAATGGCGGTCGTTCCAGTGTCTCCAGAATTCGGCGTTCGTGAATTCATTCGTACTCACCGCATCGTTATCTGGACAACGGCAAAACAAAAACACCTGGGTGAAGGTTATTGAGAAAAGATTGACATGTATTCAAGTCGGTTTAATAGGATGATCAAGTAACAACGGAAATCAATATATGAAAAGAATATGTCAAAAGAGCCACCAACGCAACGTGTGACACCAGTAAAAACGGTAGACATCATATATATATATATATACATATAGGGGACTCGTATATAACCTTATAGATATTCAGAATATGGAATCATATAATTATATAATTGTTATCATATGATGCTAAATTTGAGCTATAAATATCACAAATCCATGCGTGAAATATCTCGTCAAATAGATCGCGTGTGACTGTACGATTGAGCGTTGTGATTTGAATTGATTTAGCTATTGTGATGTACGTTTGTGATTTGATTGATCGCGTGTGACTGTACGATTGAGCGTTGTGATTTGAATTGATTTAGCTATTGTGATGTACGTTTGTGATTTGATTGAGCTATTGTGATGTACGTTTGTGATTTGATTGAGCGTATGAAATATCTCGCGCGTGAGAGCGTACGACGCGCCACCACGCAGCCACGTACGATCTGTGTCGGCGTTCATAAACGCTCGCCGGACGTTCAGTTTGTCTATCATCCTCTCCATTCTCGTCCGCCGAATGACCTCGCTCTGCGATAACTCGCCGTTATGGTCGGCGTCGTAGAAATCGAACTCGAACAGTCTCGCACTGACACTGCTCTGTAGGAACACATAGTAGTCAGACATGTCGCACGTTATGTTCGTCTGGTGTTGCAGTGACCACAGCGGGGCAGCGCGGAACTCCACGCAGGTCAGCAAGTTGTCGCCTGCAATGCAAAGCGAACATCGCGAAAATTACAAAAATCGGGAGAAAAAGTCGGGAAAACCGACGTGCACGAAATCACACGATTAAATCATCAAATCAAATCAATCAAATGGATCAAATCATCAAATAAAATCAATCAAATCGTTCAAATCATCAAATCACACGACGTCTAGGATTGTATTGTTGATTCGCATCCAGCCGCCCATGTATCTACTAAAGATGAAATACGTTCAGGCGTATATATAGGCAGTAAGTTCCGTTAGTAGACATATATACATGTGTATCAGGGGTGAATAATTATGACAGTGTCATTATTCACCCTGGATGTGTGTAGTGTCAACCCCAAGTTAGTTGACACCTGTGTAGAATTGACACCTGTCGATAAAGCACACGATTGGCGTTTCCCTAGGAGTTGCAGTTAAAGTCAACCCTGTTATTAAGGGAAATCTATAATTATAGTATCTATAGAATCTATAATGATCTATTGGAAATCCCAAAGGTGTAATTTATAGACAGGTGTCCGTTCTATCGAGGTAGATTCAGTGTATAGATCCTCCCAGGGGAAACCCCCACAAGTATGCTTCATTGACAGTTGTTCATTACTCGGTACACAGGTGTCAGTTAAGGGTGTAGGGTTGGCTGTATGCCATGAAAACGCCTTCATGGAATGGACTACTGCCTATGAAAGGCAATTTTGATGTCTTTCTTGGCAAATCGTTGAATATAGCTCCATAGTATATATATATATATATGACTGTATACTAATTGTACATATATCGTTTCGCAAAATAGTTCCACCAACAACCACCACCCAGTGTGTGTGTGTGTGCGTGCGTGCGTGTGTGTATGTGCGTGCGTGCGTGTGTGTGCGTGTGTGTGTGTGTGCGTGCGTGTCTGTGTGCGTGCGTGCGTGCGTGTGATGCAGTGCGCGTGTACCGTTGCGGTCGGCCTGGATGAATTGTTCGTTCGTGAGCCGCAGCAGGCGGATCCGGCCGGTCGGATTTCGGATTTCGGGAATGCCCAGCTCGTAGAACATCTCGTCTCGCGACACGAGGCCGTCGTAGTTGTAGTCGTAGCTGTTGAAGTTGAGTCGCTCCGCTCCGCGAAAGACGACGAGCAGTGTCGATTCGTTGTCCATCATGGAGAGAGGGTTGAGCGTATCCGGTCCGGAGAAACCGCATCCGTGTACGGTAACCACGCACGCCACAGCCGTTACCACGAGCAGCAGTGCGAGCGCACGCCCCATCTTCTCGGCTGGCGGCCAGTCGTTGTGCTACACCGTAGGGTTACTGCACTAACTGGTGTCAATGGTGGGTGAAGATGTCGTTCTAATGTCGTTTTACTCAGCTTCCGTCGTAACAGCAGCTGCACTAACGGGTGTCAATGGTGGATGAAGACGCCGTTCTAATGTAGTTTCACTCAGCTTCCGTCGTAACCATGCCGCGCACCTTCGTGACTATAGACTCGCAGCAACGACGGGACGCCTGCTAGACTTTATATAGTTTTGTAGAGTGCTCTGCGTCGTGTTCGAAGACCTTTCGTGAGATGTTCTATTGGTTCTAATGTTTTGCGTCGACACTTTCGTATCCACCGATGAGGCCGATCTTGACTAATAACTGTGAAGCCCGGCGCACACGTGAGTAATTTTACTCAAGTAAAATGACGCATGAGTCAAAATACTATTATACCTATTATTGCCGACAGTTTCCTGTAAATTCCGTCCAGATCCTACGTCCAACAATACGCTGCCGGCGCCATTGCTTTCGCGGCGCGACTGTTGCACGCTTACACTCATATATAATAGGTGAAAGAGAGTATAGAAACATCAAGAATTTGGTAGTAAATAGATTTCGTATTTAGTTAGCATTATATTTTATTGAAACGCTTCAAGTGTCTGTGCACTCGTAGGTAGTCTCGCCACATAGGCTTATTGCTATTCAGTATGAAACTGCAGTCCACTTGACTACGAAGTCGTGTTTAATGGAGTGTGTCACGCACGTGTGTGGGCTCGAATGCAAACCTTCAAACAACCATGCGATTGACTGAGCATTAAGATATCGCGACTGATTACGAAGATCTTGCTCTAAGGGTTTGGTGGGTTAAGAGCCATATTTCATCACGCTCGATATAAGAGACAGAATCTTCCACAACCGAGCTTTCGTTAAAGGGGTATCGCACATCGACTTCTGGTTAGGGACTCAGTGAGCAGCGGTCCGATCATAGCCTATCCCACATGAAGTAGACGAACCGCAAACAGAGCGGGTAAACGTGGAGGCTGCGTGACTCGAGAGAGCGCGCAGTGAGGAAGAGACCGTGACACTAGATCAAGCCAGTGTCACCTTCATATTGCTTAAATTGTTGATGACGCAGGTTAAACACTCCGAAGATCACCACATGAAATATCAGGGCCTGAACACGCTGAGGGCGAGAGAGAGACAGGCGATTTTAACAACCGGGTCGCACTCGAATAAACACACGCACACATCTGCACAGCAAAGATCAATCCTTAATATCAGGAGTGTAGATACAGTACGTGTACATAAGAAGATAACATCCTTAGAGTACGAAAAAGGGAGCAAAGCATGTGATACAGACGATCAGTCCGTTTTATAGATAGTTTGGCAAGGCATTATTTAGAGTCGTTCGGTCAGAGAAAAGGGAAATCACATTGCCGTTAATGAATAACACAAAGCATCGATCTTTCGTGTTATTCACTAGCCTCGTGGCAAAGCTTTGTTACCTCATTCCTAGCTGGACCATAACTAGAGCATTATCTGTAAAGGCACTCGACCCAACAACTGGCGACATGTCTCACATGGAGAGTGGTCATAGCGAGTTGCGCGGCTTACACTCCATGCAGCAAACGCACAAAAGAAACTACTTGATGCGTATAAGGGCAATAAACTCAAGACTGAGTAGAAGTTAAGGAATGAGTACCGTATGCATGATCGCATTGATCGACAAAACAAAGAAACACAGAAAATGGCTGCACTCTATACCGACACATAAAGAAAGCGACAGCCCGCAGCATAACATCCGACACCAATTTAGCACAATAACAGCTTTTATTACACCCAAAGTAAAAATGAAAAAAATGCAAAACACATTAAGATAGATAATTTCTGCTACAAAAATTTGTTAGAATCCATTTTTGCATATCTAAGACCACAAAGATAACTCGATCTGCCGTCATGCAATGAAACAAGTGATGCCATCCAAACTTTTAACGAGATTCTTGCGGGGGGAGGACGCTCCAAACGACGCCCTTCAATATATATAGCATTTAGTATAGCAGTCCATGATTATATATAGTATATAGTATATATATATATATATATATATATAGATAGTAAGTGATAGTATATTAAGGATTTGCCAACCGAAGACTTCAAGAGAGTGCCTTTTATAGTGCAGTAGTCTCATCCATGAAGCGTTTTCATGGCATACAGCCAACCCTCGTTTTTCAGTGTTGAGAAATATAATCGTTAAACTGCAACTTCATGTTCACAAATTTTAAAAAATAACAACCCGTTACTATAACGCTACATAGAAAGAAAAATAAACTGTGCATGTTATCAATATCTACTTCAGCATATGTGACATAAAACATTTGAAAAAAGATCAAGCCTCTTATCTCTATTATTCATGTTGCTTTGTGCACAGGGCGTGCGTTGCGGTGTACATCGCACTTGTGTGTGTAAGAGAGCATTTGAACGCATTTTATCATGAAGTTAATCAGCAATAATAGGCGCAAGGAAAGTAGAGAATTGGTAGTAAATACATTATCGTGGTTTATTTAGCCATTTTTATTGAACGTGAGGACAGACGAGATGGTGATTTTAAGTGGCCTGTGTTATAAAGAGAAGGGAAGAACTCTGACGTCAAAACCGCGGACAGATGTGATTCGCAAGCTTGGAAAAGCAATCATTACTAAGGGAAGGGACACGTCACCACCTCCCCGCCCCGAACCAAAAAAAAAACCGCACAGATTGGCATAGGGCCAATAACCCTATCTATATAAACAAAATATATTACGGAAATTATATGATTTTATTTATTGATATGTAATACATCATGGTTCATACAGAACTGAATTTTTTCCGAAGGACGTTTTCAAGATTTTTCAAAGGACAATTTTTATTCAGTATCATTTTAATCAGAATTCAAACATAGAAATGTGGATTAATTTTTAATTAACCCAATATCTTAATCACTTCTGCATTCATGCCTCTAAAAACTTACCTGGATTCAGTCATTAATAAACCGCGCTTCCAACACTGTCAAACTTCTAGCAACATGACCTTTGAATTTACTGACATGATTTAACTGACAATTACTGTAATTTGCTGATCCATTCATATTATACTGCTATCGTGTCCCTATAGCTTTTTAAGCTCATTTACGACGCAATTTTTTATTGTAGGTTTTGCACATTATTGAATGTACAGGAAATTCTTTTTATTACAAGGCAAGGATTTTTTCTAAAAAATTCGAAGCGGACATTTTCATGATATTCAAGCACTTTCAAGCACAAAATCAACACTTGAACTAAATTCAACGTACTCGTTTCAAGGACTACCGCCTCAAATATCAAGGACTTTTCAAGATCTGTGGCGAACCATGTACATGAACATCGAGCGTTGGTAGTAAAATACACTTCGTTTTACTTTACCATCATTTTACTATTGGATACGTTCCAAAGTGCCGTGGGTTGGAGCAAATGCGCCACCGCACCCGCAACTGCATTGCACCGCACGCAACGCCACCCGCAACACACCGGCCAAACTGTACGCACCGCACCGCAACCGCACCGCAACGCACCGCAACACACTCGCAACGTTACGCGCCATCGCGAACGCAACGTACGCACCGGCGTTGCTAACGTACGCACCGCACGCCAACAACACCCGCAAACGCAAACTGCACCGCACCGCACTGCACGCAACGTACGGTACACGCAACGGCTGATGAGGTAACCCTGTCATGTTCATACAGGAGGCTGAATATTTTTTCCAAGACTTTCAAGAACTTTTCCAAAAGGGACATGTTTATCGGAAATTCCAAGACATTTTATCGAGACATTTGTTCCGGAATCTCATACCAGCAAGAACAAAACATAACCTGGATAATTTAATAACCCCATTCTTAATCACTGCATGTCACCCAGCCTCATCATAAAACTTACCTGGACACATTAATAAACCTCTCTAAACAACGTGTCACTTCTACAACATACCTTGATTTACTGACTGATTTTACTGACTTACTGTAATTTGTGATCATCATTTAAACTGTCTATGTGTGCTAGTAAGCTTTTCAAGCTCATTTAACACCGCAATTTTTATTGCAGGTTTGCAACATATTGATGTACAGAAAAATTTCTTTTATACAGGCAAGGATTCCTTGCTAAAAATTCAAGGATATTTTCTAATGAATTGCAAGGCATGTCATGAAATTCAGCACTTTCAAGTAAGCACAAATCAACATTTCCTAAATTCATATTAGCTTTTCAAGACTTGCCCTCAATCAAGGACTTTTCAAGGATGTGCGAAACCCAATGCGTCCTGTGACGGTTGAGCGCCTCATCTGCGACACCAGTCGCACTAACAGCGCCAAGCTCCGCACCGCGACGCATGAACGCGCGCGGTTTCTTTTGCTCATATCTTCAGATAAGATGTTGTGTTTACCACGATTTATCGCCGATGCACGCACGCCGTAAACAAGTGACGAACAAGCCCCCGTCCCCCCATACCAGGGAGTAACCAGCACACGAAACTCACCGCCGCATCGCATGACTATCAAGATAATGAGAGATATTTGTGCGATCCACTGTCGATAGCATCTCTAGAAGATCTTAGACGGGCGTCGTGTGCACGCCCGGCTTCCTCATAGCAGCCGAAAGAGGCGCGGGGAGATCTCATCACGAACATTCACGCTCGACAGTCCAAAGGCCTATTTACACTATGCGTCCTAGACGTACGTCTAGGACGTACACCGTGTATGAAGCGTGAAGTGCCGATATAATACGATAACGTCAGCAGTGAATAATAATGAGTGAATAATCTATAATCTATAACGCTTGGTTGGCCAGCCATAACCGACGCAGCACACGCGCCAGAACCACCGGCACCTCGCAACTCAGAACTAAGATCTCAAAACCGAATAACGCATCTGCNCTTCATTCTGGATACTTGCAAGCAATGAATACCCTTCACTGTCAAAGCGTGCAATCAAATTTATGTTACCATTTACCACAACCTATCTTTGTGAGTCTGGCTTCTCCACTGTAACTGTGACAAAATCAAAAGCACGAAACAAGTCTCAAAGCAGACACTCTTAATGCCAGATTGCATGTGAGCCTGTCCCTCTGCAAACCACGACTTGATCTTATTATTTCCAAGAAGCAAGCTCATGTGTCTCATTGAAGGTATGCAGAATGAGTTTGAATCAGTTTTAGTAAAAAATTTTAAATTTCAATGTCATTTTTCTTGCCTCATTTATGGTAGTGGGCCGCGAAAAAATTTCAACAGTCTAAGTGGGCCACGCGTCAAGTTGATAATCACTGTACTAGTACATCCGTGCTAAATAATACGTGGTCAAATGTTCATTCATATATTTCATTGCCAGGGCA